ACTATTTAGAGATTTAATTTGGAGGAACCAATAAATCTCAGGTCTTTGTAATCTGTTTCGGGTCCAGCGTGGCAGGGAAGAAAATTAATGAACGTTTTTCATTTAGTATTGTTCATTTTTGCTGATAGAAATACTTGTCCAGTATGATTATACTGGATGCAGGAGTAAAACTGGATGATCCGTACGATTAAAGGCTCTACGCTCCGGGCCAAAAGTAAGAATTCAGTTGGGATGATGATATTCTGGTAAGGCATATCTAATTCTATACCTGGCAAGTTAATTAAATTGGAATTTTTGGTATGCATAAACCTATAAATTTTAGATGTGACTATCCGCATTGTGTTAGTATGCACAATGGTTTAGTTACAATAAAACTGAACTATTGTCTGTAAACGATGTGAATTAAGCATAGATTAGCAAGTTTACTTCCCAGGAAAAAAAAATGGGAAAATGCAAATACTGGGCATACGTCCGCCTATAGGAAATATCAACCTACTACGGCTTATGACACTTCCATTAACAATTACCGTAGGTGACTGATTGTAAGTTCGTATTAATTCGTTTCTTGCTTTGGCTGACATGTATTCTGGTTACGCCAACATACATACTTTTGAATTCAGTTAGATGCTCATAGGAGCGTTCATTCAGTTTGTTCTTCAGAAGGTGGATTGAGAATTCGAGGAAGCACAATCAAGTACTTCGTCATAAAAAGTTTCCAGCCATTGTAAATCTAAGTTTCAAATATCCTGATTGTATATAAGAATTGCAGTTCGCATTTTGTGATTTACTGTTTCTAATTTTAAAAGGAATTCTTAAATTATGATGAGCAGAAGATGGGTTGACAGATGGGGCATAAGACAACTGGGATAATTATGAAAAGACAAAATTCCCGACATATGATACGTAAGGTACATAATACATTTGTTTTATTGATATTATAGGGTTCATATCTGTAAATGATTGTGTCATTTGGCACAATTTTGGTTGATTACTTGTGTCCTTGCTATATTTGTTGTCCTTTATACAATCTGAAAAGAATCTACTTGATAATTTAATTATCTTAACAGTTAAATGCTTGGATTGTGTATGATGTTACAGTTCTAAGGGCGAAGGGGTCGTTATGTTGCGGTTTATGGCTTTGGTAGAATGATACCTGTTTCTACATTATGTGCAATTCTGCCCAACAAATTCTGTACATATCATAGCATGAAATCGACTGTCCTTTGAAGCTGTCACGAGAGCACTGTAGTTGGCTTCAACCAGTGAACTCTGCCAGTCATCACAGACAAATGGATCTAAGAATATAATCAACATATTCTCGACCCTGTATACACGTGATGCTGCTAACCAGTAGTTTAGATTTTCCCTTGGAGAGGGTTTAATACTTCAGTTTCACTATTGTTGCATGAGTAGTAGACATACACAGTCTTTGACTCTGAGCTGGCCTAAGCTACTCAAAATAATGTATTAACATATTAAGTATAGACTAAACACAATAATCGCTACCTAATAATTGAAATAATCTATTTAATTTTTGATGCTACGATAAAACTGACAATTCAAGAATTGATGTTTTGTAATGCAATGCAAGTCGAGCGTCTATATGATATGTTTCTTATGCAGGCTTCATGAAAATAAGGAGCTGATAATCATTGGCATTTAATGCTTCATGGGATACTCATTAAGTTTCTAATACGCCCTCGCACACATCAAAAGAGTGGCTGGATTGTGTGTAGCATTCTTCTTTTTGTGTGATTTTGGCTTGCAAATTATCCGTGTTCTGTTTTTGCTTTATCATTGTCAAACTTTCATTTTGCAAATAAGCAACTGTTTGATAGTTGTTGCATTATACTATCCGTTGTTGGAGCTGTTTCTTTTAAACTTTGAATTATATGGTAACTCTGCCTGAAGTCAATTGTTCCAATGATATTAAGTCACTAGATCTACTGATCATTTTGGCCAAGTGAGTCTTGAATTCTTATGAATGCCTTGAGCATATAACCATAACGCTTAATAGGGTGATATTAAATTTAATACAGGATCTTCCGAGAATATGATCCTAAATGGATTGATGGTGGCAATTTTACTGCTATGGCAACAGGCTTATAATTTTTTACAATATTTCTTTCCCTTCGAGTGCTTATTTTTTTCCCCAACATTTAAAGTAGCTCTGTTGGACTTTCAGCTTCGTCGAATAATAGGTTAAATGACTCTGTCCTATTCAATGCAGGCAGAGTATCCAATACTTAAAATTACCAGAGACTTGGTGTCTAGAAGGCAGTCCCGGGAATTGGAATGTTGCTAAAATTAATGCTACCATACATCCTGCTATTCTGAAGCAAACTAGAACTAATGGACGATCTGCTTAAAGATGATATTGAAGTCATTGCGGCTAGGAATGAAGCATCTGATTATTGAACTTGGTGAAAGAATGGTAAAGTCAAAGCGTCCAGATCCGTATAAGCTGAAGTGAGAAATAATTCCACTCTCAATTAATCCTAAACAAGATTCCTGAGCCGCTAATACCTTATTATTTAACTTTTATGGTGTATGCATTGCTGTTATTGTCACATCAAAGGGTCAATGTATTTCAACTGTGTACCGAGACAGGATTGTACTTAAAAATAATAGCAAGTGTACTAGACCTTATGCATAGGTAATTGAAGCTGTAAGTCCAAGATTATAAAATCAATCAAAATTTATTCACTTGCTATATTTATTTCGTTGTATTTTATGTTGATCTATTTTATTGCTAAAAACGAAAAATATTTGATTGGATACGGCATCGGTATAACTAGTATTGTTACAGCAAATGTTTCGGTTGTGGAATCTTAATTAAAGAGAGAAAGTGTCCGATTCAGGGAGTTGAAACATTGGAATCTGAAAGCGATAAAGGAAAAGATTGGTGACCAACGCGCAATTGTCAATTTGTCAAGTCAACAACTCCTATATACCGATCGTATGCGTTCCGTCTCAGACAAGCAACCAATCTTGCTATTTGTTACGCCTCTCTGAATACTTACGCTTTTCTGATTTAGTACTTCGGGAAGTTCGGGACTTCTGCTGCCTCTTACGGTGTTGGCGGAACCTACTTCAGAAATGTTAGACAACTGTTAATATATGTAGTCACGCGCGTGTGAAGCCATGGTGCGGGATTTGGATATTGAGGAATAATCGTTTTCATAGTTTATTGCCCGTAGTAAATGATAGTTTTGCAAATGAAAGTTTTGAATCTTTCAATTTAGAATTTTTTAAACCCGACACGATTATTAGCTAGATCTATGGTTCAAATTGGAGACTCCGAGATGATGCCGATTTTTGCATCATTCGTATATGGAACGCAATCAAATGAAATTAAACACATTTTAAAGTTGTTTAGTCATAGGCTTAAGTCTTATTACAGTGGCCGGTTGGAGAAATAACAAAATGAAACAAATATAATTCATTGTATTTTATGGAAAACTTGTAACATACGTAAATTTTAGACTGATTTTATAGTTGTGAAATTGACACCGAATTGTTTGTTAATATTGTAATTTCTTTTTTAATAACTAATATATATGTTTGATAATTTTTATATTTAAACGTGCTAGATATCACTTGAATACAGTGGTAGATATAATATTACATGAAAGGAAATTTTGCCCATTATGTTCAACTATCTAATAGTTGTTAATCTGTTCTAAATTTATAATTTTGAGTATCTAATGAATATTTTTCAAATTCCAAATATTTTTAATAATATTTATAATTAACAGTGTTCAACAGTTAAAATAAAAATAAAGATGCCAACAGATTTGTTACTTAAAATGCAAAGAAATATATGGTTTTACGCTGTTGGAGAAAATATAAGGTGATGTGCCTAATATTAAAAGGTTTTCCTCTTTCGGGAATGATAGATAATATTAGAAATTGATGTCACTTTTAAGAAGAGCTTGGGGAACAATTACTGCACTTTGTCACATAATAATACAGGGTGTACTTAGCCGAATGATATGATAAGTGTCCATTGATTAGGAGGAAAGGTCTTCGCTGCGGTGCAGAAGCCTCTTTGGTACAGCTTGGACCCGCTCTGAGGTGTCTATGTCGTGTTTAAGCATTGAAGAAAAGATATGTCAAAGGAGCAAAACCATGTTAATTCTTACTCAAAAGCAGTTCAATTTGAATTTCCCTGTTTTTCGTTTCCTATTGTATGTGGACAACCCCATAATGAGATGCCACTGATGATTCTAATGTATTGTTCTAGATGTGAATAAAAATAAGACAAAAAAAAAATTGCAGTTTAATTTTCTACCAAAAAACGGTGGCTTAACAAGAAGACTATTAGGTTTCATTAAAAATGATAATTTTCTTAAATACTAAATTTAAGAATATAAACTTGATGAATAGAAATAGCTCTGTGTTGCAAAATAGGAAACTAGAGTATAGACTGAGAATAGTTGAAGTTTAAATAGGAAATAGCAACATAAAACGAACAAACAAAAATGTTTTAAACAGAGCAAGAATCCATAAACACATATAATTAATATTTATGTATTGTCGATTGGTCTATTTCTATGGGTGGTCACCACTCACTAATCTATGAATCCTAACGACAAATCAAAGAATTCAATCACAACGTTGCCAATGCATAACGGGTAGCAGAATTTTTGTTCATATTTAATTTCAAAAATTGCATAGCATAGATCGAGTAGAGATTTACCTTCTTTATTTTTTCGTAAATTTTAAGATTTTCGCTATTTAGTTTTAGTATTAAAAAAAAAAAAAAAAAAAAAAAAAAAAAAAAAAAAAAAACGAAACCGGGAGAAACTTAACCTGCGTTCGTAACAGCTTAATATCGACGCGTTCTGGAATCATCAAATAATTGAAAGTACATCTAACGGTTCAGAGGATTCATCACAACCACGTGTAGCTCTTTAATGCAACATCAGATGAAATTACAATTTAACCGAAGCAAACAGGGATTAAATACTAAATTCATGGTTTTCAGAAGCCGGGGAAACAAACAGGAAAATGTCTTGAACCGACTTTAACACCCCCTTGTCTATATAAATACATCCCTTCACATTTCTCTCTCATCAATTCCGGTTTAATTTTCTCGCTCACATACTGTTTTTGGCTTTATTGTCTCTGTTTGTGTAAGCTAGAGAGTTTTGATCTACAATGGCTATGAACGGTTTCGTCACTTTTATGCTTTTGGCTCTCTTTGCCTCTGCAGCTCTCGGTCAGGCTCCGCGAGCAGCACCGACCGCTTCCCCGACTAAGTCACCTTCGGCTGCACCGGCTCCAAAAACTGCGACTCCAGCTCCTGCTCCAACTATTCTAGCTCCGACTCAAGGACCACCTGCCTCGGCTCCTGCTCCTGCAACTACTGCTGCTGCTCCCCCGGCCGGAGCCCCCAACTTGAGTCCAGTTAGCTCACCGCCATCTCCTTTGGCTCCTAGGACTGGTCCTTCAGTGGCTCTTCCTCCAAGTGCAACGGGTCCTGGTACCGCTGAGACTCCAGCTGAGGTTCCTGGAAACGGTGCTGGTTTGAATAGAAACGGTGTCGCTTTGGCTGTAGTTGGAGCTGCTTGTGTTTGGTCGTTGTTGCTGTAGATCTGATCTTGAGGTTGATCATCAGTTGCTGATTTAGGACTTGATTTAGTAGGATTTTGAGTCTTATTTTTTACTAGCTTCTGTTTTTACTCCCCATGGAGGTGATGGCGACGTTTCATATTTTGACGGTTTAGATTTGATTTCTTACTCCGTTATTTATTGTTATTATTGTTGTTATATATTGCTGATTATTATGGATTCTTTTTTTTCTTAAATTTTATTTGATTCTATTGTTGCTGATTTTTATAATTTAGTGTTTTAATTATTTAATTTTCTTTTAATGTGTTGATGCAAAAGCTACGATGAATTGAATTGAATGAATAATCCGCAATGGTAGTTTGATCTGTGAAGATAGTGAAGTGAGGAGAAAGCAACGTGTAGTGAGTAGTGATGTTGGGGCGGTCTTTCTTTCTGTCATTTTGCGTTAGGACGAGGGACAGCTGGAAGCGGTCTTATTGGTCTTTTCTGCTTTTTTACTTTGATTGTTTTTGACCTTTTTTTAACGAGGCCGAGTAGTAGATTAATATTATTAATCCGGTTGAAATTAGTAAATAAAAGTTGGGTTTGGATGGGTCTTTAGGCTTTTCACGTGGCCACAGCTGTAAATCTTACTCTTTTAGTTACAGACTCCCATGTGCTTTCCGACAGACACGTGCGAAAGAAAAAGGAGATGTCTCTCTTATTTGAAGTAGTCATGTGACCAATTGATTATAAATTTTCTAATTTCTAATGGCAGTTGTAAAAAATAAATGGGTTTTGATGATCGTGAATGAATGTATTTTTGATTTTGAAGCGAAAGGCTTTTAGTTTAAAAATTTATAATAGTATCAGGCATTACGGGCCTTTCTTTTGAAATGGCTTTTTGGAAGTGCATTTCTGATGGTTGTTGCACCAGTTGACAACTTCACGGGTCCAAATTCTTTTTTGTTGATTTTTCCTGGGAGCTTATTAATGGACTCTAAATTAAAACATTATGTTGCCACGTAAGCTTTCAATTTATCGCTACTTCAATCAACATAAAGATAATACTTGTAATGTAAAATAGAACTTTTAATCATGACAATAATTAAAGTGAATTCATTTGATTCCTTAAATTATATCTTAATTAATACTTTCGTTCCTCCAATTTAACAAATTATTATCACGTTTTTTATTTTTACGATAAATTCACTGTTACGTCATTTCTTTAAAAAATGAAAATTTTCATTCAAAAAATGAACATATTTCGTTCAAAAAAAGAAGCTTGATTTTTATTAAACAGCGGATTTTTTAGATAGCAGAATTCAATAGTTAGTTTCAACAAAAGGCAGGAACGTTGTAGTAATCTTTCAAAATAAAAGAATAATCATTGCAGTCCTAGGAGAGGTGGCGATTATTCTCAAGAACCAAAAAGACTAAGTTCAGAGAAGCCCTATAAGTCACTGAAACGACGGCAAGACAGCCCTTGATCCATCTATCAACCGAAGTGTTATATATAAGCCCTATAAGTCACTGAAAACGACGGCAGAGACAGCCCTTGATCCATCTATCAACCGAAGTGGTTTATATATATATATATATAATATATATATATAATATTAACCACAGTGTATCTATGTGTCTATGTATACATAAAAAGTTAAGATTTTCACTAGATTTAGGAGGTGGATTTTATATAGATCTTTTTTCTAATTTTCATTTAGGGTTAATTAATTACAACTTGTGTTTTCTTAGAATTGAGGAAATAAAACATTTAATTCATGTTTAAAAAAAAAAAAAAAAAAAAAAAACATGTTTAATTCATAATTTATTATAATTCTAAATTAATATGAATAAATTAACGGCCAATTATAATGGGTTGCTTTATTTTTTGTAGTATTTCCTAAAAAATAAAATAAATTAATAAAATTTTTATTCATGGTCATTCATTGTCACTTTTTTTTTTTTTTTTTCCTGCAATCTCTGTAATTTACCATTTTATAGTTCAGCATCCCTCCAAACCGCCTATTTACGCAAAATTCCTCACTCTAACATTCAAAATAATAGTAGCATTTTAGCATAATGTCAAGAATTCCATTTTACAATATATATAATATATATATATATAAATAATATATATATATATAATATATATTATATAATATTATTTATTATTAACTAATTTTGTTTGCTAGTTTTCTTTTAAACGATTTATTTCAAAAATAAATGGACTATAATAATTAGAAATGACCTGCTTGATTCCTAATATATATTATTACTTTCCAATTTACATATATTATTTATTATTACTAATTGTTGCTAGTTTCTTACGATTTATTTTCAAAAATAATGGACTATAATAATTAGAAATGACCTGCTTGATTCTAATATATATTATTATTTCCATTTACATGTATAAACAATAATTTCTGGATAAATCAAGGATTATAACTTTCTTAATTGACAGTAAATTTGAGATATGCGTTGTACTTGTAAACTTCCTTCCACGTTGTTGTTGGGTGTTCATTTACCAAATTGTATGTCAATAGCTCTTCAAATTACCCTCTCTTTATCATGTGAAATCTCAAAAAAAATAAAAAATAAAAATAAAAACAAGTAGTAATCTTTTTGTTTGGTATTCAAAATAATATGTATGGATTGAGAATTAATCATGTACTCACTTTCCCTTCATTGAACAAAATTATATATTTTTTTGAAAGTTAATAAAACAATTCCAAATTCACGTGATAAATGTCTAACTTCTTGCATTACAAACCAAATTATTTATTCAATTGCATAAATTCAAATATTGAAAATAATTTAATTCCTTATATTTTGGTCCATTGAACCTATTATTCAATCAAAAAAAAAAAAAAAATATATTGTCAGAATTAACTTAACAGTGACAACAAGCTCCATTTTACTCCCACACTGCCTATTGATGCTTCTTCATTCCACATCAATGAAGAAGCTATTAGCTGCATTAACAATGACAGAAAGCTTCATTCCGCTCTCACAATGGCCAACCACTCCACAAATGTAATAGTGAGTCCCTTCTGTCTTTAGAGATATGGTGGTGGCTCCACTGCTATCTGATGTAATTGGATTACCTACGGTGCATGTTTTGTAGTCACTTGCATTTACTTCATCTACTGTGTACCCTTCTCCATAGTTAAACACTACAGAACATAAAAACTATACATGGATTAAACCATAACTGGACATAATTGTAAGTGGAGAACATGAGATATAAAAGAAAGAAGAAGACGACTAACCAAGGCTGTCACCAACAGAAAAGGTCTTGCCACTGGTCCAAGTTCCATAATCAACACCTATTGTCCAGCCACTGGAGTCTCCTACAGTGTAAACTGTGGCCAAACACGGCACCAACATGACTAGAATTGCAAAAACGAGTCCTAAACCAGAATTTTCCATTGTAAAAGAAGAACAAATTTAGAACTTAGAAGATGATTTTTGGGATTGCTAGTGGGTTGCTTATATAGTGGCATGGTATAAACAAGAGCTGTTACAGTGAGTAACGTTATGTCCACTTGATTCAACTGTTCTTGTGAAAAAGACCGAGTCCATGAAAAAGAAGAGATAATATTTTTTTTTAATTAGTCCAGATTAATTAATAATTAGTTTAATGCTAGTATTTTATTTGGTCTCTGTTAAAGACGAGGTTGACCTTGTAAAGTTTGATTTATGTTTAACTTTTGCAAATTAATAATGATAAACATTAGGGAAAGAAATATGAATTAAAGTCCACTTAAACAAAAGGTGTGATGTAATTAAGAGTTTCATATAAAAAAAAAAAAAAAAGAAAAAAGAAAAAAGTCAAGTCAGGTCGGATCTTTATGCTTTCAACGTGGCTACAGCTGTAACATACTCTCCACGCATCTGTTTTGCGACGGACACGTGCGAAAGAAAAGGTAGTTATGGGGTTTATAATTTGTTAAAAAAAAGAAAAAAAAGATTCATTTTGCCCCTCAAATTTGAATTAAATAATCAATTTACCCATAAATAAAGTTTTTAGCCAAATTACTCCAAAACTTGTGTAAATATAGTTAATTTACCCATTCTTTGGGCTGGGAGTAGTGCGTGATTCACACGCAGTCAACCAAATTTAAAGAAGCTCGTAGACCCATAGGTCTCTTGATTGGTACCAAATTCAAAAGATGTTCTTGGCCCACAAGTCTTTTGATTGGCACATCACCACCACCTGGCATGGAAACACGGTGGACTATCCTAACACCACCTTTGCCTACGATATTCTCTTTTTTCAAGCACTCTAGCACGTCCCCTGGTTTGAATTTGAGCCGTTGGGTTGCAGTTACCTTTGAAGCCCTGTATTTCTGGAGCCGCTTCTTCCTCGATCTCTAAACCATCATTGTTATTAGCAATAGAGCGGTGATGAGAGCGGGTGGTTATTATTAGCTTGGAGGTGTTGAGACGTCGTGTGACCATGAACCCTAAAGTGTATTTACAGTAAACGGGCAAGAAGTTCGTTGTTGTGCAGAGGATTGGGATTTCCAGCAAAGGAGTTGTCATTGAACACCAAAAACTTCCCTTCTAAGCAGATTCAGTCCAATAAATTGTTGAGGGTGAAATTGAGAGTTGTGAGGCTTGTCATGTACCGAATTTTCACCTGATATTTGTCTTGTAAGTTGATTTTGAGGGATTTTGAGAATGCTTAATATTTTCAAGTCTGCAATCCCTTAAGATTTCCTCGTGCAGGCTGTTTCAACTGATATTAGAGAAGTACAGTGGGAAATTGATGGGAAATTTCATTACTGAGGTTGATTGTGGTTAGGAACTTGAGATTGAAGATTTCACTTGGAATTTTAATTGAGAACATGCTCATACTTCACACTGAGTGATAAATGTGCAAAGGCAAATTACTAATGCTGATGGAATGTTTCTGGTGAGTAGACTGTTAGAAATCGTCAAAAAAGCATCTCCCGATAACTGGTAACTAATTTAATTTAATCAATGAAGTTAACACAAACTGATGCCTGACTCGCTATTGTATTTTTGTAAAATGCACGCGCACTGACTAGCGCTAAAAATGGGTAAATTGATTATCGTTTGATAAGTTTTGGAGTAATTTGACTAAAAACTTGATTTTTGAGTGAATTGATAATTTGGCTCAAGTTCAAGGGCTAAACTGAACCTTTTTTCCAAAAAGAAATGAATGAAATTTTGATTTTGAAGAAAATTAAAAATTGATAATAGCAATTTAGTAATATTAAATGGATCATAGTGGCTGGTGAAATGGCTTTTTAGAGTTGGAAGTGCACTTCTTATGGTAATTGCACCAGTTGACAATTCAACGGTCCAAATCTTTTTCGGTGGCTATTGTATTTGTTGCTCTTAACGCATGCGTTAAGCCCAAATGGACATTAAGAAAAGTGAGCTTAATACAGCTGTATATTTTAAATAACTCTTCAAAAATAGATGAATAAAATTAAGATTTATTTGATTTTTAATTGTATTTTGCATTCAAACCTAAATGTATTTTAAATATATTAATTAGCACTTTTTAATCTTTGTAAATGACAATGTGTTCTCGTTGATTTTCAAAATGCGGAGACCTCTGCACTATTTAAAGATTATAAATGTTATTCAAAATTCATGATTTCGTTTTATTTTTGGGCCTTTTATCTCATTAAAAAGAGAGATAACCGTAGAATTGGGCCACAATAAGACAGCCTGGCCCAATCGGTGACGACCTAACATATTCTAAGTGGAAGGCCATGAAGTGATTCAACCAATATGTTTTTGGTTAAAAACACCTCTGTTTTTCTTTTTATGAAAACTTTTTGTGGTAAAAACTTAACATGCCTTTCAAGTTAAGAATCTGGTAATATTACACAAATCTCCGTATTATAACAATAATAATTTTCAGAATTATTTTGGATTTTTATGCAAAGTATGGGTTTATTATGCTATTAATATAACTTTTAAAAAAATAATCTTTATATTTTTAAATTATTTAATTCTTCATAAATTTAATTTTACAAATTAAAGTGTTTAATCCGTGTGATTTTATAAATACACAGTATCATAATTTTTTTTGTAAAAAGTATTGAATTAACTTATATGTATTCTCTTACTTTCTCGTAATGAATCCCTAACTTCTTGCATCATAATCCCGCCATTGAATAAATAGTCAATCACATAAATTTAAATATTGAATGCTTACTTGCTTATATATATGACTTTTTAATTTGATTTTTCTTATCTCTTTTTCTTAAAAGATTAATGATAAATAAAGTTTGATTTTTTTTTTTTTTTTTTTTTTTATATATATGAACTTTTATTAATTTGACTTTTTTTCTTATCTCTTTTTCTAAAAGATTAATGATAAATAAAGTTTGATTTTTTTTTTTTTTTTTTTTTTTGTAAAACACTTTTTTTTTTTTTTTTTTTTTGTAAAACACTGGTATTCGGATCCTATTATCAGGTATTATCTAATCTGACTTGGGGCTGAGTCATAGTTAAGACTCCTCACCCTTCCCTGTAGATGTATTTAAATCAAACTCGAGAATTCTTTCCACATACCCAGCTTGCGTTGTTAAATGAGCCACAATCCGTAGGTATAAATAAAGTTTGATTTAATGGTAGATGAATCATATTTAAAAATGTAAAACTAAAAAATTTGAATATAATTAAAGTTTAATTTAAAATTAAGCTAGAACCAAACCATGTTGATTGTTGGCTTTTGAAGGTAGATAAAGCATATCTACAAATTAAAAGTTATATTTTGATTTGATCAAAACTAATTTTATAAGTTAGGGATGTAACATCGCTTCCCGGTCCACCCGTTAACTCAAATGAACCGAGCTGAGATGCTACAATCTGGTTGAACCTATGTCCTTTCATGCTAATATCATTTCATGCTGAAATATCATGTTGTATTGCTTTTCAAAATAGTAACAGACTATGGGCAGGCTCCGAAATTCAACACAGTCTGGACGGACTGGAAGTTGCTCATTTTGGTAAATATTTGCCTACCTTACCAACGTAATTAAGAGATGTGGTAGAAGACAAATTTGTAGCCTAATGTGTTAGCTAACCATAGAAGGTAGAATCACCTAAATTGGAGTTATATATTGAGATCTGTGACCAAAATAGTATAACTTGTGCAGGCTGGAACCCAACAGCAGGGCAAACTGATAGTTGCTACTTGAGCTCAATGTTTGACTACCTTACCAACGTAATTAAGAGATGTGGTAGAAGACAAGAAGACAAATTTGTAGCCTAATGTGTTAGCTAACCATATAATGTAGAATCACCTAAATTGGAGTTATAAATTGAGAGATATGACCAAAATAATATAAACTGGGCAGGCTGGAAACCAACAGCAGGGCAGACTGAAAGTTGCTACTTGAGCTCAATATGTGACTACCTTGCCAACCTAATTAAGAGATGTGATAGAAGAAAACTTTGTACCTTAAGATGTTAGCTAACCATAGAATTTAGAATAATCTAAATTGGACGTATACAGAAAGAGTTATGCTAGGATTTAGAAAGAGTTATGCTAGGATTTGTGAAACATGTACAGGCTGCCTGGCAGATTTCAAGAACACATTAGAAATGATGTTGGAATGCATATGTAGATTCATTAACCCTAAAATTATTACTGCATTTTACCTTCTAAGTGAACTTAAATTCAAACTAAGAATTTCCTTAATCTGAATGGTAAAAATTTAGTTACATAAATATTAGTAAGAATTGCATCACGGGTGCAATAGCTAGAGTATTTCCATGCAAGTTACTTTATACATTATCAATGGTATGCATTATTCCTCATTAGATAGTTTCTAAATAATTCTTGTATTATCATGTTATTATCAACAATAACACATAATATGGCCTCCATAAGGTTAGGCAAGAAACCACGAGAATAAGACTATGTCGCGAACATAGGATAGACAGATCTGGCGCCCCAGCTATACAGTTTTGGTACTCCACAGCTACAGCTGTTAAAGTGGATATGATTTATAATACGGGCCATAAACAGCCCAGCCATAAAACAGTATTCAATTTGCCAGGTTTAACAGTTCATACAGTTTTTCTTATCAGTTTGGTAACATACTAGAAGATATATTTGGAGGTTACTTGAAAATTCCATTCACTTTACCTACTCCATCTTCTCCTTTGTCTTCTTCCTTCACTTTACCTTCTCCATCTTCTCCTAAAAATGAAAGAATAATGATATGTGTGCTTACATGCTTATTTATTTAATTCTTATTAAATTGAGATATCCACTGAACTTTTACTATTTTGGTCATATCTCTCAATTTATAACTCCGATTTAGGTGATTCAAAAAACCATGGACAGCTAAAACATAGAGGAACAAATAACTCTTCTACAGCACTTCCTAATTCCATCATTAAATAGGGTCAAAATCAAGGTGAAGTTAATAGTCAGTTTTCCAACAAATCTGTTCAGCATGAAATCAATGTCTACTTCATTTATTCATTTCATACCATACTTTCTCACCATTTCTAGACCTCTTACTCAACATTCAACAACATATCTTCTCATTATCAACACACTACACAAGTTTTCATGCAAGGAAATTTGTTAAACTAAAAGAGATATCAAACCTTCACTTAAAAAGCTTACAATCTTCTTCTTAGCTTCCTTTTGCTTCTACCTTTGAGCTCACCTCTAGTTCCCCTCTCCTATACATAATAACTCTTAGAAATCATCGAGTTCACCTCTCCTATACATAAGAACTCTTATGAATAATCTAAAATAGCACTAAAGTATGAAATTCAAGAAATTCTACTTACTTGGATAGAATAGAGGTTGACTTTAATGCACTTAGTGAGAAGAAGATTTTGGGTCCAGATTTGGTTAGAGAAACAAAAGAGAAAGTGGAAATCATCAGAAAACGGCTGAAGGAAGCAAGTGATCGACAGAAGTCTCGTGTAGTCCAAATTTATCTTTGATTGTGTGTTAAAAATTACCAAATAGTACCTATATTTTCCATATATTACATTTTAATAACTAAACTTTATATTTTAGTGCAAGTAAGTCCTACTACTTATACTTTGATCTTTTTGTTTCATTCAAGTAAGTCCACTTCTTTTACTTATTTACGTTACATCCCATTCTACCCCACTCTGGATTTAAATGGCTCGAACCGGGTTCTTGTTCGGCCCAACTCGACTCGACTCTATGCAACGATCACTCTGGATTTAAATGGCTCGAACCGGGTTCTTGTTCGGCCCAACTCGACTCGACTCTATGCAACGATTCGATTCAGTAGGATGTGACAAGGGAACTCTCAAGGGGTGAGATAGGATAGTAGAAATCCTTTTTCCTTTAACCAGAAGTCTCGAATTTGAGACATGAATATGAAGTCTCTTTAAACACTCAGGAGGAAGCGTTTTGCTCCCTTATGAGCCTGCCCGATGTGAATCTGAATTAATCGGGCCATTGGATTTTGGATATCAGATATTAAAATAAAAAATATATATATATATAAGTTAGGGAGATCATCCACACCTTGGTATTTTTCTCTCGAGCTAGAAAATAAATTCAGGCAAACCAGGCTGTACACCAAATTGCTGCACAGTTGTTTTATAGAGAGGCAATCCCCAATTGGGCCAATTCATTTCCCCAATTACCCAGTTTGTATTTGAAGTCAGGACTCACTCAGGATCACAGGTAAAAATGGGTGGTGGTTGTAACCACCTTAACATGACATGTCTTTGCCTAACATTTTTCAGAAAAAAATATTTTATACTGTGTCGACATTCATCTCTCATGTATCTACCCAACACTCAATTTTAAAAATTACTATACAATGGAAGTATTTGCATTTCTTATTTCTCCCTTTCTAAAATTACAAGTAATATGCAAAATTTTGTCTGCAAAAAGATTATCTGCTAGAAATATATGACTTAGAACTATAATTAATATCTTCAATATTTTAATTTAAAAAAAGAGAGTAATATTTTAAATCATATTGGAAGACAATTATACTAATAGTTGAAGGATGATTGAATAAGATATAAACCTACTCCTTTATAATAAAAAGCAATAATGATTATCCGGAATACAATCAACACAAAGAAAGATAAGAGAAGAGAGGAAAGAGAAGAGCACTGCCTCTAGCCTGGCCAAGGTGTCACCACCAGTGCCAAACCTTACAATGAAAAAACCATGACAAAAAATGCAACCAAAGTGAACAAAATAGCCCCAATCGGTGAAATAATAGCTGAAGCTGACTCATACATATTAGATGCAGGTTTATTGGTAGTAGTTCCAGAAGGAGAGGTAGTAGAAGGAGTAGTAGAACTAGTGGTGCCAGATGAAGGAGTAGTAGTAGTAGAAGTAGAAGTAGAACCAGAACCGGACCCTGTTGATGAAGAAGCTGCCTTAACAGTAACAGCAAGCTTCATGCCACTCCCACAATGCCCAACTACTCCACAAATGTAATAGTGAGTCCCTGCCGTTTTCAGAGCTACGGTGGTGGCTCCGCTGCTATCTGATGTAATTGCATTCCCTACTGTGCATGTGTTGTAGTCACTTGCACTTACTTCATCTACTGTGTGCCCTCCTCCATAGTTAAATACTGTAGCACATAAAAATTAAAATGGATTAAACCATAATTTTAAGTGGAGATCATGAGATATAAAAGAAAGAAGAAGATGACTAACCAAGGCTGTCACCAACAGCAAAGGTCTTGCCACTGGTCCAAGTGCTATAATCAACACCCATTGTCCAGCCAGAGGTGTCTCCTACAGTGTAAACTGTGGCCGAACTTGGCACCACCATGACTAGAATTGCAAAAACAACTCCAAGAACAGAACTTGCCATTGGAAGAGAAGAACAAAGTAGAAGATGATTTTTTTTTTTTTTTAAAACAACTCCAAAGAAACAGAAACTTGCCATTGGAAAGAGAAAGAACAAAAGTAGAAGATGATTTTTTTTTTTTTTGTGGTGGGGGGGGGGGGGGGGGGGGGAGGGGTGGGTGTGATTGTTAGTTAGTTGCTTTTAGGATAGGGGGGGGTGTGATTGTTAGTTAGTTGCTTTTAGGATAGTTGTTGTGGTGAGTTACTTATATAGTGGTATGATACGAGAGTTATATACCAGAGTGAGTACTGTTAGGGTCACTTTGAGATTGTGAAAAGACTAATTCCATGAAGATGACTTGAGCCATACTCCATACCTAATGCAAAAGGTTAAAGTGGGACCCTATGTTTTCTTTTTTTATTTTATTTTATTATTTTTTTTTTTTTTTGGGCTTTTTAGTTGCTTCAATTGAACTTAGTTGTTAGGGAAGTCTTTCTCTTATCAATGGTCATGGATTGATGAAAAGGAGAAAATTTAAAGATAAATTAGTTTATATCTCGCAATTAATACATTATATATAAGAAAAGAAGAAATTGATTTGTAAAATAATTTCTTTTTCTTTAATTTGCCCATATTAATTAGTTTAATGTTATTTTATGTAGTCTGAAGAACTACGTTAAAAAATGATGTTCACTTTGTAAAGTTTGATTTATGTGTAACTTTGCAATTTAATGATGATAAACAGGTCCCAAGCTAGCATCATTACAATAGAGAAAGAAATATAATAATCTGTTGATCCCATTTTATTTGTTTGTTATTTTTTTTTTTTAATGTCCCAAAATATTGATAAAATTTTTAAATTTAGACATATAAATAATTATTTTTCTTATAATAACATTTATAATTGTTCATTGAATGAATGATTTTTAGTATCTTAATGAGTTATTAATGGTAAAAAAAAAAAGTAAAATAACTTTTGTTAACTAAATTATTAATATACGTGTTTTGTCAAACTATGCAAATAAAATAGGACGGAGGGAATATATTAAATATAAGTCATAGAGCCTTGTTAAACAAAATGTGAAATGTAATTAAGAATTCATAAAATTAAAAGTTTTCTCTCTTTTCAAACACTCGTGCTTATTTAATAATTAATAATTATTACTTCCTCCGATTCATTATGGAACAGAGAATGTATTTAAGATGTTTCATTTAAATAGAAAAATTTACTATATTTGGATTAAGTTCAAATATAAAATCCATTTTGCCCTTTGTTTAGCTTTCTTTGTTGGATTAAATGTGCTAACAATACACATTCTCTCCCCATTAGATAAAAAATGCATGAAATTTTTGTTTTAAGGGCATTATTTTCATTTTTTCCATGCTATTTATAAAATGCGTCCGTCTCAAACCCTAAATTTGCCATTTTCAATTTTAATATCATCATTTAGAACTCGCCTTCATACCTCCCAAAAGGTGTTGTTTATTTTTGTTTTTCACTTATTTATATTGTGTTAAAAAGAAAAGATTATCTTTGATAATGATTGTCGAAGGACAACATTCGATATATGTCCGTGATTTAAGGATTATGTCATATTTCTTATATTTTGAACTTCACTGCAAAACACGTAGAATCAATGCTTATTACAAAATGACGCACATTTTGACCTAATAATAATAATTATCATTTGTATTCAGTTTACACTATTATAATTTAACCATCATGATCCATGAACACATATTGGTATAATTTACTAGCTTTTTTTTTTTTTTTTACTGGTTTAGATAAAATCAAATAAGTTTGGAGCATTGCAAAAGTCAAATTAGTGATTCTGTTAGCAAGTCCTTTGACCCACTTCCACTCGTGAAAAAAATAAAAATAAAAACGAAAGTTCTCCAAGCTTTTTCAATGGAGTCATAATGGCTCTGTCGTTACCCCTGATCCAAAGTCATAAAAGGGTTGCAGAGTTTCTAATTTCTATTGATGTTGCTTTTCTGATAAGAAATCCTCAAGAAATTACTGAAACTTTCGGTAAATGAATATGTTCAATGATGTTAATGGATAACCATAGTACTTCAATATATTTAAATTTTACGCTAATCGGAATTTAACCTAGTAACTAAATTAAGGTTTTCCCCCTTAATATACTAAAATTTTTTCCATATCGAATCCAGAATTACTTACTTAAGGTGATCCCATCCCTTGCACCCGAACCAACTATCATTGTCTTAATTATGTATTTTTAAAGTGATCTGGTACCACGTATTTTGCCAATTTTGTTCTATTTCTTTATTTAATTAACATGTTATATACAGTTCAATGCAGGGTTAGTTTAGTAAAAATTGAATCTCTCTTTTAGCACATCTTACTCTCTTCATAATTGCACTCAATGTTCAACTTTGGAAAAAGATGCATTCTAAAAGTCAACATTATAATTCTCATCTCATCTCAAAAATAATGATTTTTCCACTATCTATATTAAAATCAATAAATAAATAGTGATGAACATAAAAACACTATGTGGTTCTCTTTCTTCTTTAACTTCAATCATCAAACCTTTATGGTTTTAGTAAAGGATTTTAAGTAGATGAAAGGTAATATATACTATGGAGATTGGAGAACCAAACGTAGTTTCAATTTCACCTGAATTGGTCCATAAGCAAAATATTTTTTCCTCTGCAAATCTTATAATTTCATATAGCTAATACATATTTTTTATTACCAAAAGTATTTCCATATTCTTTGAGTACGAAACTATGAGTTCTTTTTATTTTTAAAATAAATTTTAATGCAATATGCAATAAATGACGTATCCACAATGTTTTAGCTTCAAATTGAAGAAATAAACAAAGAAGAGAAGTAAATGTAATTGGGAAACATGAAACATGATAAACGGAGAGTATTCTGATTAATATAGAAATTAATGGCTGCCAATTGGAAGTTTTTGTTTGGATTTTGGATATGAAGAAGGATGAAATGTCTGTTTTCTGATAAAAATCTTACACCTAATAATAATAAAGTCATTAGGAACATAATTATCACACTTAAGAAATGAAGCCATAGCATGATTACCCAAAATTGAAGCTCCCCACCACATGCAAACAAAAGCTCCAAAACTATGGAGGCACCATGATTACTTGGCGTACTTTATACCAACTCTACCAACCACGCCCTAGCCCTAGTGCTTGTGCTTGGTCCACTTCAAAATGTCAGCCAGATGCACTATCATTTGTCTTCTCCCCTCCCACCTCGCATTCTCCCCTTCTGGCCTTTTCAATCCAAGGGTGAAGCCAAAAGTATAAGCTAGGGCGGTAATTACTTAATGACCAAATTAAAAAGGGCAAATGGTTAAGAACATGCCTTAAAATAGTGCGAGCCCTGAATTTCGAGTCATAGGACGGACCTTCTTGAAGATTTTAAAATTTAAAGTTGATTTTGAGAAAAGCTTCGAACTTGAATATTTTTCAAAATTAACAGATTCAGATGCAATTATAATGCAACCTCTTAAAATGTGGGACTATACTCAGACCAAATGAGAAATTCTTGTCTTGATGAGAGATTTTTATATTGCTGATTCCCAGAAAAAGCCCTTAGGGTTTTGACTATTTCCACACTACGAGGTAGGTTACTGTCCAGAACATGGATTAGTGAAATGGAGCATACAGCAGTACAAATTCAGGGTTTTTAGATACTTGTCCCCAAGTCCAAACAGCCAACATGTACCTAACATTTAGGTAGAATTTCAATATCACGCTAAACTTTATGAAGAAAATATGAAAGCTTAGGATCTCAAAACGAACCATCTACTTGGAGATTTGCAAATTAAGAAAATAATTTCCCGTTCCCAACAATGTGGAGAATACCCACTTACCAATAAGATTAATCATCCGGATTACAAAATGAGAATAATAAAAAATCATTTCAATTTATGACATGAGCATCACACATTAAAACTGTGAGATTAAATTAAATGTTTGACAAAATAGTCATATATTTGGTGCCAAAGTGACATATAGTGCATGAAAAAATAAGTAAACAACAACCGAACTTTAATCCCAAACAAGATCGATGTTATATGAATCATTTATTTTTATTCTGCTATACTTTCATAGTTAAGTCTGTATAATATCAAGAAACAATAGATCTTTTGCAACTATTTCCCTCCACGTGGGACTAATCTACATCTTCCTTGTTTAGCACTCTCAATTAAATAAATAAACAATTCCAAAATTTTACTTCCCAGCATTAGCAGTTTGCAATTTGCATCCACAAAAAACTCAGCACAAAAATCTAATATGAATGCAAAGAATAAACTACAAAGAAGGAATGTAAAAAGTACTTTTTATTTTAACTACAAAGATTAACTCTGCTTCTATGCCTACTCCTTAAGCAAATATATTGAGAAAAGAAGGAAGAACTAACAAAAAACCATAAGCATTCCGATTTTCTAGAGTACTCAGATAGGAAAAGGGTTGGCACCAGGTTTCAACATCATATATTTGACAGTAAAAGTGATGGATTTAAAAAACAAGTTTGGCTTGAGAAGAGAAACTACTTCAAAAATATATATAGTCAATGATCTTCTGGAAACAAGTAAAGATCGAATGATATTCAGTTTCCAATTAGCTGATACTGTCTATACTGCTTCTATGAAAATTGTCTCTCTGGGCCAAATATAAAATAAATAAATAAATCAAACTAACTTTTTTCCCTACCACATTTTCTCTCTTCTTCAGACAATTTAGAATACAATAGAACATAAGACTGGAAATTGTTGGGCATATACATCTACCACAACTCTGATGCTGGTTGCTTAAAGATTTGTATTGTATTGTGAGGTTCACCTTAACCTGTTCTTTTATAGCCAGCCACCAAGTGGCCAAGATCATTTACATATCACTCTATATCATCATTCTACTCAGAAGAAATTTGCAATGAGGGTTCTTAGTTACTTATTCCCCTCTGCCATCTTACTAGTTTGGGCAAAGAATGTCCACCTTTCAGAATCACTAAATTCGATAGTTCCAATAACCACACACAATCTACTTAGAAACTTCATAGGCAAATCTTTCCTCGTGTATCAAATTTACAAAACAATAGCATTCATGAAGTACACAAACAACAATGAATTATCAGAAGGTACACACAACCTTGACTGATTTTTTGGGTTCTGACTAGAAAATAAGTTTACTTTCACACAACAGATTTTTTCTTTTTGGAATTTATTCTAGTTTACAAGTTCATTATAGAGTTTAGATAACACCATGATAACGTGATTAAAACCACAGATCCCAACTATAAGTCCGAAAATTTGAAAAAAGTTCAATCTCTCACTTGCAGATCCCCCCTTCTACAACACCTCTTCCTCTCCTCCCTTGCATTGGGTCAGATATACCACAAGAAAATACGAGGCTCCTATCCAACTGCTCAAACATAATTGGGGTGGAAGGCATCAAAGAACTTTGTAGAGTTCACTATCATATTAATGGATTCAAGGGAGATGAAGTTTGTAGATAAGCTTATAAATTCCATCACAGAGCAGGATGATAAAACAATACTTTAAAAAGTCTAGGACATGCTAAGTGATGGTGAAGAATTTGTTCAGACCTGTATCATAAAAGTGTATGCTTAAGGGTATAGCAGTATCACTCAAAAAATACAATGCACCAATCACATAGTAGAAAAGGCATGCCAAACGAACAGTGAAATTACTTTGATGATCTGTAGGAATCAGAATAGAATATAAGAAATTTTACCCACAAAATTGCAAAGTGAAGTGAATTAAGAAATCCACTGCTCTCAAATTTCAGTTTCAATTTTCATCAATTCCATCTGTTTGCTCCACTCTAGAGTTCAAGTCAGTTGAAGTATCATCAGAACCATCTTTTCTTTCTTGTCTGACAAATTGTCTGCTTCGTGCCACTCTAATTGGTCTTCCCATAAATATCTACAGGTTAACAACTCGTTAGAGATTTTAATTCTTCACTCTAATCAGACTTTTAATACTCCAATAAAGAAGGCAATGAGTTCACAGTCTTTGTCAATCAAAATAGTTAACAATTATTGAAAACCACAGAATTACCTTCCCTGTAAATGCAGAAAGCGCATCATCAGCTTGTTTTTTAGTTTTGAAGGCAACAAATCCATAGCCAGAAGGCCTCCTTGGATTATCATGATATATGATTTCAGCAGAAACAACATCAGTGCCTTCAGCATTAAAGAACTCCTTAAGTTCTTTCTCCTTAGCTTCAAAAGGCAAATTTGCTACAAACAAGTTAAATGTTGGCCCTGGCTTAGGAGGCGGCGGTGTTTCTTTTTTCTTTTTAATCTTGGCATAGTTAATCCTCAAAGTACGACCCTCAAATTCCTAAAAGATCAATAGTTTAATATTCGAAATATTAACAAGCTGAAGATAATAAAATGGAGGAAAAAAAAAAAATTGAATTTTTCAGCTTTATACACGTATATCCAAAAAATTGAGGAAACCATGAAAGAATTGAATAAGACAATGCGCTTACATAAGATTCAAGATTTTTAACTGCAGCATCTGCCTCCTCAGCAGAGCCCATAGTGACAAAAGCCAAACCTCTGTTTCTGGTCTTATTGTGCATCGAAAGCTAGAGCATAGCAGCCAGAAACAACAAGTGTCCATATCAACAAAACACACAAAAACCATAATACATACACCTGAAATTGAAATTAGAACTAAAAAATAAAAGGGAATAAATAGAGAATAGAACCTCAACGTCCATTACAGTCCCAAATTTCTCAAACAAAGTACGAATGTCTTCAGGGGTACAAGTCCATGGAATATTTTGAGCAAGCACTCTGGTTCGAGAAAATTCTTCTTGTTCTTCATCTTTTTCAGTCAGTGAAGAGGATACAACGATTGGGTCTTGAGTTGTGGAAGAGAAATGTAAAACGAAGTGACTGGTTTTGTTGATTCTAATTGGAAGTGTACGATAATGAGAATGAGAGAGGGACCATGAAAGAGAGGAACTGTTGTTGGTGTTGATAGAATTGTAAGATTGGTTAAACGGTTTAAAGAGAGGCGTTGCTGTTTTATGATGTTCAAGGGATAAGTAAGGGGTTGATGGGGAACACTGAAGGCGAATTGAAGCCATGACAGCGAGTTGTGATTTCTCACAATTCTCAGAGGGAACCGTTTAAGGGGGCGATGGATGATTGCATTTGGATAAGGAGAGGATGGAGATTTTTGTTGGAGCCGAAATATAAATTATATAATGTCGTTTAAAAAACGGTGTCGTAATCAGTTTAGTCTTTGTCATTTTTTATATTATATTTTTGAAATTTTTAAAAAAATAAAACTCTTTTTTTTTTTTTTTAAACCATTCCATTTCATTCCTCGGGATAAAAGAAAAAAAAAAATCTTTTAATGGGATTAGAAAAAAACATCCCAAAGTTTGATTAGTTATTCAAGGGCAAACAAAAGAACTTCACTCGTGAACTTTATCAGAAGCACATTCAACTTTTAATTAGATTAATTAAACATCTAAATTTTGTGAAAATTATTATTGTAGAAGTTATGCTAATTATCTATCAAATCGATTTTTGTAAATAAAAATAAAAAATTCTAAAAATTATTATTGTTAGTGTGAAAAAGTATACAATATTATCAAAATTTATAAAATTTAAATACATAATAGGTCATTAACAAAATTTAAAGTGTCAAAAAATTAAAACTACGAAGTTTAAGTAAATATATGTATTCGACTAATATCGCACCGGTATATAAATAAATTTCAACTAGTATTTCACTCTAGTCATGAAACTTTTGAATTCATGTAATGTAATCATTTCTTTTTCAGTATGAACAGTACATTAAAAATGCATATAAATTAGATTAACCTTATATCATAAACTTTTATTATTCACCAAACCAAGCCTTATCTCATAAACTTGCATTTCTTAATGAAAGTATAAAACCACTCTGATAATTATCCAAAAGAAAACATCTTATACTACCTATTAATAGACTTGATATTTAGCCATAAATGAGAATAGCTCTGTTAAGAAATGAAACTACCCTTATAAGTAAAAAAGAAGAAAAGGAGTTAATTGATATTAATTCGAGCAGCCTATAGCTTGAGGAAAAGCTATTCTCCCATTAGTAACACTATCCAACATACAAAAGAATCGGTTATCAATTCTTATGCATTCTACATTCAGGGACATTTTGCGGCAAAAATGATAAAAGGCCGTCTCATTAAAGAGTTACGGCAACATGTAACATATAGCTTGAGGAAAAGCTATACTGTAACAATGGGAAGCGGCAGTAACAATATCCAAATACAGAGAATTACCCGGAGTATTAGAAGAAACTACATGTTAGAAAATAATTTGTTATCACTTCTTATGCATTCTACATTCAGGGGAATTGTGCTGCAAAGGTGATAAAGGCTGTCTCATTGAATCTATATCCTTCGAATCAATCTTCATCTCAATTGGGCTACTCATCTTTGGACTTGATTTTCGCTTGTTCCTCTGAAAAGTTCCAAGTAGATGACCCATCTCAGTGAAATAATTAAATAAAACTAAATCGGCTACATCCATTTTTGCATAATACATGTACACACACGCACACAGAGAGAGAAAGAGACAGTTAAATGCAGCATGAAGTGGCAAATGAATGTCAGCACATGCAAAAAGAAAAGGGCAAAAAAAAAAAAAACACGTAGAAATCTCACAAGAACAGGAAATTATTCTTCATCTCATCTCTCCTTTTTTACTTTTTTAAACCTTACCTTGGCAGAAGCACTGTTGGTATGTTTTCCATCGGAACCATCAAGGTTCTGGTCTTGGTGGTGTTGCTTCAACAATCTTTTGTTCTCCTTGTCCAACACATAGTTTGCTTGGAAAAGCAAGTTGACCTGTATATATCATTATTCAAGTTATAGGCAGGGGAACCTGGATTGTCCAACTAAGAAAATAGTTTCTGCTTGTCTACTTACCTCCTCTTCAGCCCTATTAAGATTGATTCTGAGATGTTCCTTGTCTTCTTGAAGAGTCTTCACTTTAGCAGCCAAGGATAAGATTTTCTGAGTTGATGGCCCCAAGCTGACAAACAAAAAAGAGAAAAGACTGATAATGAATACGAAGAGATTGCAACCATGCTGCTAAATATTAAGGTCTCCAGCCACGGAGAAAAGCAAACAAAAAGAAAGTATTGATAAATTCCTTTACCCATCCCACATTTTCAGCAGGTTCTGACATGACTCATATCCACTGTTTGCCTCCAAAAAAGCATGACCCAGTCCAACTTCATTTTCACTGACCCATGTAGCTAAAATGGATTCAAGTAAATTCTGTTCCATATCTGTGCTCTTAGAAGATGAATCAACCTATAAGGTACCAGAGTGTTATGCATTAGTCGCCCTTTACCCAGAAAATAATTAAATATAGCAAAATAATCACATAAGTTCTTGCTAACTAAATATGAAAGAAAAACAGGGGTTAAAAAGGAAATACAGAATTTGATAAAAAGTAAGTTCTGTGAGTGGTAATTAAGAAATGCCAACAACTATTCATGAATCAGGCATACTCAACTAATATTACCAGGAAGTGCAAACCATCAACTCAAACAACAACAAAGTGCAGGACTGCTTCAAGCCATTGTCCTATAACTAAGTTTCACTAAGAAGCTACTGATGAAGGATCAAACACTAATTTAAGAAGTGATGTAACTATAACCTCAACAGCATATATATATATATATATATATACACTTTACACACACTTACAGCTCCTTCAATTGAAAACATCTCTCATTCAAGGAACTAATGGAAACGCTACAAAATTTGGATGCATGTAATGAAATGACAAGCTATGGTATAGTAGAATCCTGTAAAGTAGTAACAACACATCAAGAAGGAATGATCAATCTCAGAAGGGAAAGAAACAGAAAAATATATTCTAAACTCAGTAAAGAAGCAATTATACAAATTTTATTGAAGCCAAAAAAATTGAAAGATTGGATTCTTCAGCAATAAAATCACTTCTATTCTCCACTATTACAACAAAATCCAAAATAAAAAATGATATAGGTTGGCTTTTTAAGTAATTTAATGGCAGGATATAGTTAATGATCATTCTACTTAAGGATTATTACATGTCCAAGTTCCTAGTTCCTGTCAAAGGCGAGGGGGGAAATACTGTCCATCTTTCAAAATCAAAATAACAATTTGACAAAAAATTCCAAAATTTATTATTTGCATGTACAATCACATCTATCATATAACTATATCTTCAAGAATTAACACAATAAAATCAGCCTTCCAAATTTTACAGGTCCCCACAAATACCAGCCAATCCAAATAAAAGGAAAAAAAAAATTGAAATGTCCCGTTACCTCTGGCCTCTCTTTCTGATGCTTGTAAAACCGCAATTCCTCTGACAACTTCGCCAAGACCTCTTCCAACTCACGAACTCTAAACTCGGCCTCTTTTGCTCTCTCGTCTGCCTCGTTTCCAAAATCCATTAAAGCCTCACGGTCGTGATCGTAAAGCGAACATTCCCTCTCCCATTTGTTACACTGATTTACCAAATTAGCACACTCCGCCGCCAATCTCTGATTCTCCTTCACAAACTTCTTCAAAGCCAACGCATTCATATTAGCTTCCGCCTAAAACCACAAACAAATGGTTTCCATCACATAGAGACACAAATATATCTGGCGTAATATTCTGTAATCTGTACATACGAACCTTGGTTCTGTCAATGATATGGTTTTTCTGGCGCAATTTCTCGACGAGAAGAACGTATTGGTCGCGGAGGCGGCGGTGGGCATCCTCGGAGGAGCGGAGCTTCGACTGGAGAGTGTGGATAGAGACTGGGAGGCCTAAAGAGTCGTCTATTGTTTCTTTTATGTAATCGTCGATTTCGACAGGAAGATCCATTTTTTGATCTTAATCAAGAAAAAAGAAACCCTAGAATTTGAAATCTTTCTACAAAAAGAAGTGATCTTGATAAAAGGAAAACCCCTATAATGATTGTCGCTTATGAATCAATTAATAAAAAAATAAAAAGAAATGGTAGAGATAACGATGAACTGAGAGTAATTATCCAACTGGATTCAAGCAAGATTAGGGCTTTGGTAGAAAAAAATGATTTCTTGCTCTTTTTTGTTAGACTTCTCTGGTTTTGGGGTTTCAAATTGAAAGAAAGCGAGCTAGCCGTTAGAGCGGGTTTTTGAAATGGTGTTTTTTAATACGTGGCAGAATCGCTGTCCAGATTGTTGGAAAGGCGGTTCTTTGGTAGGTTAATGAATCATAGTGGGCTTGTCATGCTGGGCCCGGCCCTGCAAATTTTTGTTTTTTAAGTTCTTCAAAGGTCGATTGATTTGCGAAATAACTTGGCATGTTTGATTTATTCGATAAATGGAAATTAACCTAATTTTTTAAAAAATAATGTGGAAATTTAATAGGTCTAGTATACTAAATTGTAAGCGACGTGATATAATAAATATATTTATTCTTGAAAAAAATATTTTTATTTTAAGACAATAATCTGAAAATCATCGATATATCCAAACGAATTTTATCAGCAACTTAAGACATTCTTGTCTGAATATGAATTTGAAAATATACTAAGCTGAAAATTTAATTAAAATGTAAAGACAAATAGTTGAATATAGACATGAATACTGTTTTGATTAAAAAATAATTTAAGTGTGCATGTATGGTTCTTCTTATCTGATTTTTTAGTAAATTATAATTTAAAAAAAAAAGTCAAAAAAGTACATTGACGTGCAAGCTAGCTGGTCTGGGTTATCCCTTGCCTAATCTTGGTCCTGAGCTTCTTTCCTTATCTCATTAGCTTGGTCAATAACAGTTTCAATCGAAGACTCTACCTCCTTTTCCACTTCTTGCATCTGCATTTTTGTTCAAAAAGGAATTTATCATAAACTAATAAAATTAAACAAAATTAACAACCAAAATTAATGCTTATTGTCCAATTTTTCTATCGTTGAAATTGAGCTTTAAAGCAAACCGAACCGCATAACCACTTTTTCAAAATATAAAGAATCGTATAATTAAGTCAGACCATATGTTAGATTAAGAAATTAATGAAACATAATTAAGAAATCAAGCACCATTAAAAGTGATGATCAAAGACTCAAGAAGCAGCAAGTAGCACATGGCCTACCTTGATGCTAATTAAACCTGAGCATTTATGGTTTCTTTTCTAATTTTCCATCATGATCACATGCTTTTAGCAATATACAAAAGAAAAGGTTAATGATGACCTAATTGGTGATAATGTGATTAAGTGTTGGATTAGGTAAACACTAAGAAAATAATATTAATAAAGCTATTAGGTAAAGGAAAGGAAAATACATTGTCAATAACTTGATGAACGAGATGCGCATCTTTTGCAGTTTCTTTAGCTACATTTTCAACGACTGTCACAGCATCTTTAAGCTTTCCACCTTCCGGCAAATGATCGGCAACTTCTTCCGCTACCTTCTCAATTTTCTCAGCCACCTTTTCTACGATATCAGTCACATCCTCTGCTGTTTCCACCACCGATTCAACTCTGTCTGCATATATTCAGCTTCAAAAAGCCATCCTGTTAGGCTAAATATGTAGCAACTTGATAGCTTTGTCAATAGTATATTTATCTTAATCCTTAATTAATTAATAATACATATAACCTTTTAACGTCAACAATGGCCACCATTTGTTTCTCCAAACTGGTAGTACAACAGTTATTAACATTCCCAAAATCCACATTTTCCTGCTAAAACATGACATTTATTAATTTTATACTACTACAAATAATCTCATCACAAAAACTAAATGTTAATTAGACTCAATAATTTAATATAATTACCAAGAACCAGGAGATGATGAAGGATCTGAAGGAAGAACAGGTCCCGGATCAACCCCATTGTAGACAACCATGTCCCTGCATATACATTGCATTAATTACGACGAGAACTCAAAGCAACATATGTACATAATTGATTAATATAAGCAAGAAAATTAATTAATTTATATGTACGTACTTCTTACTGCTTGCATCGTGGAGTTTCAAATTGGCATGGAAGATTTTCAGCCTCTGATTCCCCAGAAATTGGCAGCTGTTGATGTGCTTTACAGTTGCCAGCAAAATTCTGGAATTAAGACTAAATCTTTGGTGGGTCCTCCAATAACTGTAGGGAGCAGTAGATCTTCTTGTCAACATATCGCAGCCAAAATATTATAAGTTCTAAAATATAAGCAAGGATTTTGGTTGGTTAATCTAAAAGATTTATAGGGAGAGTCTTCCAAAAGGTTTGTTTAAGGTTTTCTTGCAGAAAGTGGTTTGAAGGGAAGATATAGCAGAAGAACATGCAGAACAATTTCTATACGACTAAATTGTATTAGTTGAAATGGTCAAACCAAATATTCAAAAAAAATAAACGTTGCCATTTGCTACAGAGACAAACCTTTTTAAACATTGTAATTATTAAAATTTTTCCTTGAAATTTCTAAGAGAGTTCTATCTTAACAATAGTTAACTGTAAAACAAGCTAAAGTCCTACGAGATGTCGTATTGACCTGCAGGTTTGACCAAGATTGCTTGATAAATGAGAAAGAGACGTTGATACGTGACATATATAACTTTCCTACTCAATATTTTAGACAAAATGCAACGTTTCTGCTTAAGTGGCCAATCTAAGAAGCAAGAAACTATAACCATACAATCATAAACAACTGGAAAGAGGATCAATTGCATGTGTAATGTATTATGTGCTATTATTCGCAGTCCAATTATCTGCATATGCCTGAATTGTCGTTTGGTTGGTGAATCACAGCACCTGTGACGAATGACGAGTGACGACTGACGACGTAGTTGGTGAGTTGGAGTTTCATATCAACGCCGCCGTTAGTTGCCTCCGCGTCCTTTAAGAGTAGAGCGTATAACTAACGCCGGCCGTTTCCAATTTCCACCTAATCTGGAAGCCAACTGCCCAGGCCCAGGCCCATCCTTGAAACAAGGGTTAGAATGAACGAACAAGAAGGCCTTAAGGGTATATATATATATATACACGTCGACCGTCACATAATAATTACATCAGTAAACTGCATGTCTTGATATTATATCCGTGTTAACATATAATAACAAATAATCGTTAGCCACCGGTTTATGTTCCATCCATAAACCAAATGATTGAAAAATATTTTTTTTTTAAATGATAGTATTTTTGACAATTTATAAAAAAAATAAAATAAAATAAAATAAATTAATTTTTAAAGATTTTTATTTGTATTGATTTAGCTCATGAATGAGCTTATACACTGAATTTAAATAAACTTAATTTAATAAATGATTTTTACGTGAAATAAAATAATTTATACGTCTTGTTTTTCATTAAAATATTATTATATTATTCACGATTTTAATATCATAAAAATTACCTTCTTTTCAAAAAAAATATCATAAAAATTACCTTTTATGCAAGAAGGAGTAATGACCCTCATCGTAGTTTAAACTCAAATAATCTTTCTTATAATGATCATATATGAATTTTTTTTTACTAGGAGACATAATATTTAACTAGTGATTAGTAGTTCATTAGTATTAATTTGAGAGAACCGACTACACAAACAAGTCTTCAAACTATAGATAAGGGATAAAATACTACATTTACTTTAAGCCTCCTCTAAAGAATCCAAGAAAATTTTTTTGTTTCTTTGCTTTTTTTTTTTTTTTTTTTTTTACAAACAAGTCTTCAAACCATATAGTAAGGATAAAATACTAGCATTTACTTTAAGCCTTCCTCTAAAGAATCCAAGAAAATTATTTTTTGTTTCTTTGCTTTTTTTTTTTTTTTTTTTTTTACTTGTGAATAAGAAAGTTTTAATCTTTCTTAAACCATACGAACATTTTTTTTTTTTTTTTTTTTTTACTTGTAGAATAAGAAGTTTTAATCTTTCTTAAACCATAGAACATAAAAGTTTTTGACTCTCTCTTCCAGTAAAGTATATTTTTCGGTAATCGAATTTGTATTCTTACTTTTATGAGGACTAAGACTGCTAATCACTTTAATCAACACATTATTAGTTTTTGTTTCTTTACTCTAATACACATGAATATTTAAAAAAAAAAAAAAGTATAAATAGCCAGCTCCAACAGTATCTGACTCTTTTTCACATCAATGGAATTCAGACATTAGAATTACTGAGGGGTGTTCAAAGTGAAATTGAATAACCAGTTCTCCGAACATAATATATAAAATTGTAAATAACTTTAGTTTTTTCTAATGAATTATATCATTAATAATGTAACTAGTGTTGTTCATAAAAAGATAAACACTATAAAATAGCTACTTCCCTTGTAAAAAACCAGTGCCTGAATTTAAATATTGAGTTTGTAACAAGTGACAGGGACTAAACACTGAATATTTTCTTGGAAGCATATGAAGAGAAATTAGGTGCATAAGCATTCTCTCACGCAATTAGACTTATCCACTACTTGGTCTAATAATTATTTTTTTTAAATCACCGGTATCTAGACCCTATTATTAGAAACCGCCTAATCCGATTCGAGACTTAATCACAGTTAAAGACTTTTTTCTCTCCCTGTAAATGTGTTCAGTAGAGATTAAACTTGAGACAACAATATTTTTTGATAACTAAGATTACACATAAAGCAGATATAAGGTCAATTTCACTCACGGCCATATACTATCCCAGACAGTGACTCTTTAAATATATTCAGAAATCTTATTAAGAGACTGTTAATTGCACCAACTTAGAGATATGTTCTATTAATCTGAAAATGACTTGTTACCAAAAAACAACAAGAGAATAATGACTCCTTAACTATTTATTATCCTTTTTACATCTAAAATCTTGTATTAAGTGCCATAATTATGGAAATAATTATTTTGTATTATACAAAAACTATTTAAGCATTGAATCATATAGGCATTTGGATCGTTAAGAAAACAGTTTGCAGAATTTTAATTATTTCGAAATTATTATTCTTAAAATATAAAAATTAATTCTAAAATAAAATAAATATTAATGACTTCAATACAAAATTTTCTTTTAATGTAATTTTTGTTTAACAGTTACTCAAACAATAATATTAAAGATAAAAGAAATAGTGGCATAAATTTCTAAACATTGAACCATGTAACTTACCAAACAAATTACATATCAGACTTCACTCTTCAGTAGAACTTGAAAGGGACTCATTGCTTAACAATGATAATTTCTTCTCTTTCAATTGAAACAAGAAGGAAAAAAAAAAAACAACAACTAATCACTAATCCCCACACAAACACATAGCTGCACGCTTCGGAGTTTCAATTTCTTACACTCTTCACAGTCTTTTTAATGGCGATGAAGCATAGAAAACTCTTTCCAGCTTTAACAGCAACAAACCAAACAACAGACTGTCCAGATTTCTGCGACCCAGCCTGCCCTTATAACTGCTATCCTTATGCTGATTATTATTTCTTGCCGCCTCCGCCTCCGCCTCCTCCTTCTACTCTTATACCTCCGGAGCATCGCATATCACCATATGTAATCGTTATAGTTTCTTTACTAGCTAGCTTCTTTCTGTTTGTTAGTTATTATGTTATTATAGCTAAGTCTTGCCCTAGTTGGTTTTTTTCAAGAAATAACCAAAACCCTGGAGCTGAAGAAGATGATAATATAGATGAAGAGCTTCTTGATGAGAACCAAATTGATCATCCTATCTGGTTTATTACTACTTCAGGTTTGCAGCAGTCGATTATTAATTCAATTACAGTTTGTAAGTACAAGAAAGGTGAAGGTTTAATTGAAGGAACGGAATGTTCTGTCTGCTTAAGTGAGTTTCAACAAGATGAGACACTCAGGCTATTGCCTAAATGTAGCCATGCTTTTCACATTTCTTGTATTGATACTTGGTTAAGGTCTCATACTAATTGCCCTCTATGCCGTGCCCATATTGTCAATGACTCTGTAATTACTCCTCTGGTTTCAGTTAATCAGAATTCTGATAATTCCAATCAAACTGTTAGTATCCAGATGGATGATACTGAAATTGAAGGTGAATTAGGTAATATTCAAGAAAGAAATGAAGTTTGTGAAATCAGAGAAGAAACAGAGGAGGGAACTGAAGGAGTAAATGTTGGTAATGGAAGAACGTTGAAAGAGGATTCAATTTGTGGTATTCAGCCAATGAGAAGGTCTGCATCAATGGATTCTTTTGAAGGTGGGACTATTTGCGCCGTTGAATTACAGGAAAGTTCAGTTAATGAAATTGAAAAAACAGAGCATTCTTGTTCTCATCCAGGCATTGTTTCAAACAGACATGGTGGTTCTTCAATTGCACAATATTTGCATAAAGGTCCTGTTCCTATGAAAAGATCATTTTCATGTGGTGGTAGATTTTTCTCATCAAGACAAATCAGAAACTTGAATTCGATTCTACCATTGTAAAGAATCAACTTGCTCTTTTTTGGTACATAGTATTGCAAGAGATACCTGCATACTGAGGCTTAGCACAAAGCCATGCACGGGATGTGCTAAAGAAAATGAGAAAAAAGAGTTAAGTTAGAAGGAATAACATGTTTTTCAAGTTCCATATCACAAAAAAATTGTGATTGAGCTGATGCCTTAAAGGAGAAGGTATTGTTTCCACCATTGTCAACGACACATTGTTCTATTATTTTTCTTTTTAAATTTCGATGTGTGAAAAATGTTTCTGCATAAATGAACCATATATTTGGTCTTATGATTTTCATTTCTTTTCTTTTCTTTTGATTCTTTTTTTTGTTTTTGTTTTTGGGCAACAATGGAGGTGTTAATCAAGTTATTTAATTAATAATTCTTGCCTAACAAAATTGTAAATTTTATGAAAAAAAGAATTGAAATGCAATTGTTTATGAACCAGAAAATAGGCAACATTATTGAACAAAAGGAAATGGAAAAATGTTGAACAATAGGAGTCCATATACAGTGAAAAATGTTTGAACTGTGATTTTTTTTTTTTTTTTTATAAAGGAAATTGGAAAAATGGTTGAATCAATAGGAGTCCATATACAGTGAAAATGTTTGCACTGTGATTTTTTTTTTTTTTTTTTTAGTTTCTCTAATATTTTTTTTTTTTTTTTTTAGTTCTCTAATATTTAAATTTATGTTTTAGCCACCCAAAATTAGAAGTCTAAATGTGTTACTGTCTGATACCTCCCAACCACACCTTATTAATTGCATATTTATTTATTTTTTGATGGGGATTAATTACATATTTATTTAATTATTATTGATTTGCCTTTCCATATAGGATATCTTTATTATATAAATTTCGTGTAATATATATAGAACTATAGCTTCATTTTAATGTTTGTTTTTTTGAAGTTTAAATTGTAATTAAGATGGTGTTGAAAAAAGAATGCATTACTTCAAGCATCCAAAACAGTATATTATACTCTTATTATTATTTATTTATTTATTATTATTGTTGTTTGATTGCTATTTCTTTCGAGTTAAAAGAAAAGACCTATTCAACGGTGAGAATTATTTTTACCGTGAAGTTCATATATTCTCCCAATCTATTGGACCGGATATGCATTCAAAAAAAAAAAAAAAAAAAAAAAAAAAAAAAAAAAAAAAAAAGAAATCTCACGTAACCATTTAAAAAAAAAAAAAAAAAAAAAAAAAAAAAAGAAATCTCACGTAACCATTTGAAAAACTACATGCTCCCGATCATAATTGCACTCAATGTATGTGTTAGCTTCAACTATTTCAACTACCAAATGTTGTTGGATTCTAGCGCAAGAAAGACACTTTAATGTCTTTTTTTTTTTCTTTTCAAAGTAATGTCTAGTTTGTCTTGAGGAAATACTGAAAGTGGGTGGAAATGAAATTAATTAATGACCTTTCATTGTTTTTTACTATTAAAAAATAAATTAGAAAAAAAAAGAGAGAAATTAAGGGAAATTTATACTTTAAATTTCTCGCTAGAGTCACTTTTTATTCACTTCCATTTTGAAAAAAAAAGGGTAAAAAAAGAGAGAAAATAAGGGGAATAAGTTTAGTAAAATGTTTATTTTCTAATATACGTTCTCACAGTCAAATAAATTATTCGATAATGTTAAATATGTATTCAATTTCCTTCTTAATCAAACGTACAAATAGAAACAAAATGACGAATATAGTCATATTTAGTGTAAGTGCATAATATTATTTTACTATTAATATATTAATTTTTAAATAATTCACAATGGTTAGTCTGTTATTTTTTACTAACAAAAAAAATTAGATTATCAAAATAGATTAGTGAATTGTACTTATGTCAAGTCAACCTGATAGTTTCACGAGTCAATCCCTCACACGATTCGTTTTAATTCATATCATAAACGAATCGATTCATTTATTATATGTTGGGCCCAAATTAAAAAGTTAAACTTGACTTGAGCCCAATGTCAATTCTATACTAATGGGTTGGTCTTTCGCTCTTCCTCCTCCTAGCTTGGTAGGATGTTAGGTCCACGATCAAAAACTCCTTAAGCCTATGTTATAATGAGCTAAGTTAAGGTAATCAATGTTTAGCCCTGATTTTATTTTATTTTATTTTATTAGGACACACGTTTGTTAAACATATAACAATTTTATTTTTTCAAAGTTTAATTTACTTTCATAATAATTAATTTACATACGTTTTAAATGAAAATAAATATAAAATGCATTTTATTTCCAAATGACCTTTAAATTAGAACAATTGATAAATAAACCTCATATTTAGTGATATATTTCATTTTATGATACTATTACATCAAAACTCTATGCTATTTTTAGAAATTTTATTTATAAAATTTATCATTTTTGATAAAATATCAGCATGACTACAATCAATTTCATGTGCTTAAAAATAAATATTTTCATGGTCTAAAATCTCATTATAGATATTTTAAAGGCTCAATATATAAATTTGCACATGAATTTTTTATAAGAATATTTTATGGTACACTCAATTTTTACTTTAACAGTTTTAACTATAAAATTAAAATTGTTAAACACTTTATTTTACCCATTGGAAACATCAGGTTATAAAATCGGATTGATTAAATACTTATTAGATATTAAAAAAATATATGTAAATTATTATTCTAAAAGTTATATTAACTATATATCAAATCTTACTTTATATATAAAAATCAAAAATTTTAAAAATTATTATTTTTAAAATTGAAAGTGCTACAAAATTTATTTATCAAAATTCACTGTAATCCGCTATATTTTAATCTTAACCGCTTTGAAAAGTAATTTTAATAAATAAAATTTATTGAATATTTGCAAAATAATTTTACATTTCGCGAAGAATTTAATAAATTTTTATGCTTTGAATTTTTAACTGTATGAGCAATAGAACCTACACTATGCGACAGGCTCATATCTATTTCTGTTCATACCTTTTTTTTTTTTTTTTTTTTTCACTTGCGACAGGCTCATATCTATTTCTGTTCATACCTTGTTTTTTTTTTTTTTTTTTTTTTTTTTTTTTTTTTCCTAATTACAGTACATGAAATATCATAATTAAATAATTTGGAATTAAGTAAATATATATACAGTGATTATATTATAATATATAGTAACCATGAACAAAGGAAATCCATAAAATATTGTAAAAAAATCTTGATATTATTGGCAAAGAAAATACATATTGATATGCTGGAGATACGATTTAGACTGCTGTGCATAGAGGTTTCTTTTATTACGATCATATGCATAGATAAAGGGTCTTGGGGAAATCCTACCTCTCAATCTTGAACTAATCATAATTATCGCAGAATTAATATTTCTTAAGTACAGATTTTGATTGTTTAAATGACTATTATCTGTACTAAGATTTGAATTTTGAAAGAACTGACCATCTTTCTTTCACATGTCTCCTTCTTCCTGGAGCAAGTCATAGTCAACTCATTTTTCACATACAAAATTAAAGATATTACAATGCTACCAATTAGGAATCAAATCAATAATTAATAAACTAATTTCAACAAAATCTAACAAGAAAACCAATAAATAAATAAATAAATAAAAGTTTGACAATTTGTCTGCTGTTTGATGGTTCCCTAATTTCTAATTATTAATGAACTCTGTAAACAAAGGACGTTTTGGTCTTTGTTAGTTCTTTCTTTCTTCTTTGGGTGGATTCTGTTTTGTCTACTGTTGTATTTTCATAAACATGATTGTTTGATTTTAATTTATGATTATGGTAATAATCTCAGCTATAATTAACAAAACAAAATAGCCAAAATGATGTGGAATAATCGTACGTCTTCGTGCGGCTAGTATTGTTTTCACGTCCACAATGATTCTTAATTATTTCCTTTACGAAACTTGCTCAATCCATTGTCTCTATCCAACTAAATTTAATTTTATTAGTATTCTGAAAAGTATCCCATACTTCAAATTTTTTTTTGATAAAAGACTAATTTCATTTCAAAGTTTCCATAAGTGTGTTTTCACAGTCATTTTAAAGCTCCTGACTCTTCGGTAACAACTTTTCAATTAACTTTTAGTTTCAGTAATATACATTTTAAATTAAACAATTATTTTTACCGGATATTTTGTCGTATAAACAGTTAACAAGCTAACAATTAGAACAATAAATTCTATTAAAACGGTTGATATTGCATAACAAACCATATAATTTGTGAATGCAATGAAATTGTCCGTTAAATTCAAGTGTGCCTTGCTGTTATTATTAATAATAGTGCAATAACATTGGGTGCGAGACCCACAAAAGCTAAAGAATGCATCAATCGAAAGCCTTTGCATTTTTTCCCTGAAAGGGGAACAAAAGAAATCCAAGGGATATTTGGTGTACGAATTTATATGGATAGGATATATATAAGATAAAAAGCAATTACTGTGTGCATGTATGATTCATTCACATACTGAAATTCACTGATAAATATTTCTCTATGCATGTTGTGTCAAAACTATGAAGCAGAAGCAAGAGGAGTCTTTTTTAAGAAAGTTCGTCAAAATAATCATTTCTTAATTTGAAGAAGAACGCTGCAATTTTTCTGCTGCTGTTAATAAGTCAGACTCTTTTCACAGACTGTTTCTCCACAGTAATAGGATTAGAGATTCTGTCATCTTCCTTGATAGGGACCCAGCCATGACCCAGATTATTACCATCTCGAATATAATAGAATTCTAACAAGCTACATCATTAAGATTCTATGTCAGGACATGCTCATCATCATTCTTCTATAAGAAAAACTACAGTTATTTCCTTTTTGTCTACCAACTAATTAATTAAAACTTTTTTTTCAGCTATATCATGATCACGAAATCTTGAACAGAAAGACTATTTATGTCTACCAACTAATTAATTTAAAACTTTTTTTTTTCCAGCTATATCATGAAATACGAAACTCTTGAAGCAGAAAGACTATTTATTTTTTATTTAACGTAAACCCAATATTACATGCCAAGTTTTCTTAAACCATTACTCATAAATCTCATTCTATAAAAAATAAGACTTAGTTTTGCTAGAATTAGAGAATTCCAAA